CATTAGTACTAATTGGATTCCAATGCGGCTCATCCAGAAATTACGAACTACCCGAGCAAAGTAAAATATCAAATTGATAACAAGTTCTATTATTAATATTGACAGTTTGATTGGCACACTTTGGCCTACTTTGGCACATTCGGCATAGCGTTTGGCACAGATAAATAATTTGAAACAGATGTAGATGTGCAGAGTTGAATACCCCTTGGATTGTATATGTACTAGCATTAATATGCAGCTAAAAAAATATTTGTTTTACTCAGGGGCCGTCCATTAATTGGGTGATACTATTCCAAGATTTTTAACCCCCTGATTTTTTTTCTAACAAATCCGGGGAGTAAGAAAATCTTAGACTTTCCTCCCCCCTATAAACTCTCATGTAATCCCCGCATACACCATTGCATGTATCAGGTTGTTTTGAATCTTAACTGAACACTTGCCAATACATTTTCAGAAAATCATATATCTAAATTTAAATCTGCCAAATTACAATACTTCCCACCTTTTTGAAGATAAACACGAATTTATTTAGTTGAAGATGCTAATTTCAAATAACAGACTACAGTGGTAATTTTTATACGATAGATGAGGAGATGAAAGTATAGAATTGATACTTCCGTTTAGAGTACGGCAGTGTGAAAGTTGCATATATAGAGAGTAGAAAGCGAGCTAGGACAACTTTAGGAAGGTACAAATCGGTTTTATCATCTCTCTTTACTAGCTCCCCCCTTTGGAAAGGGATGGTGAGGGGTGTCCCCCACCCCCCGCAACCACTGGCAAAAAGAGTTGATCACCGACCGCCCATGTACCGACGAGGTCCATGGATGGTTTTGTATTGTCGGACAACTTTACGTGGAATATATCGCGAATAGGTTGCCTGTACATTATGGATTACCAATTCGCGATATATTCCACGTAAAGTTGACCGACAATACAAAACCATCCATGGACCTTACTGACTACCATAACCATTACCATTAAAATTCTCAAACCATAAGTAAAAAGGTCCTAATATAGTATTCTTTCAGAAAATGTATGGAGAAAACAAGAATTTTGAATGGTAATGGTTCTTAACAACCCATTATTTGTAAGGTTCAATTCCAAAAAACCATAATACATAAGGTTAAAACTTTATCACACAAACGTTCATGTAAAGTTCCATAACCATTTCAGTTAAAGTTTAGCATGGATTATAAACAATTTGTAACCATTTTCGGTAAGGTCAAGGTATGGTTCGCGTTTATGCGGGAGGTTATTACATAATAGAGTTTGAAGTCATCGGCATACGAGAGCTTAAAACATTTGAGCACTAGGTTGACAAGATTTCATGGTTGATTTTATAGAGAGCAGCTGAAAAATCAGTATAAATGGCATCGACCTGCTTGTGAGCTTCTATAGTCTTGATGATAAAGGACGTGTATGGAACCAGATTGGTGCAGGTGGATCTCTTTGGCATGAACCCATGTTGTGTCGCGGAAACGTAGTTGAGACAATGATGCTTGAGGAAGTCGAGGACGATCAGCTCAAATAGTTTAGACTTAGCACATAGTGCAGCGATTCCTCTGTAGTTTGAAACCTCTCGTTTATCGCCTTTTTGGTACACGGGAAAAACGAATGATATCTTCCATGTTATAGGAAAAGATCCGGATGAGAGCGAGACACTTCTTCAAGATGATAGATGGTATGCCGTCCGGACTGGGGTTTGATGAGCATTTCAACCGAGCGCAAGCTGATTCAACAGTATTTTGTGATATCCGTGGATGAGGACCAATGGCAGAGCGGGGAGGTAGATTAGCTGTAGCATCAGTCACCAGATGTAGGTCAAATGATTCGTCAGTAAATACTGCTGAGAATTGTTCTTTGAAAAGGTCAGTTATGGCCGGAAGAGAAGAAGCTTCTTTATGACCGAGCTTAGTGGTTGAAGGTAGGTAGTAGTTTCCTTCCGCTGTTCGTCGTTCCATGACCAGAACTTCTTAGGATTGTCTTTTAAATTACGTTGAATTCGACGCAGATAAGTATGAAACAGTTTCTTGTTTAGCCGTTTGTATCTACTGTTGCAGGCGAGGTAATACGACCGTATGTAGGAGTTACGATTTTTGGACATTTTTTTATGAGCCGATGTTTTAACCGACTTCAGGCGCTTAAGAAGGTTGTTGGACCCACACTTGGGTACACAGGATTTTCAAACACTATTTTGGGGGTGAACTGATCTATGGCGTAAGCTACGACGAAAGTGAAGACTTAAACTGTTGTTTCGACGCTCAAGTCATGCAACATTAGGGTGTCCCAAAATTGCACTATGTCTGGAAATCTGGGGGCTCACCCTCCAAATGATAGCTAAGGGTGTTACAAACAAACTTTTGTATGGCGGCAACTCTGGGAAATGTTGTTTAGAGGTCGCCCCGACGATATATTTGGAAAAAGTACATTTTTCGTAGCTATTATCCAATAAATATTTTTAGTTCTTTAAATTTCAGTGAAATCTTACCTTTTTATATTTTTCGCAGATTCCCAGGCCACAACTTGAATGCTTTTTCCGATTGAAAGTTGTTGGGTTTCATGCTTCAATCAAAAGTACATGATGACGGCCAACTCCGACGGCAAACGGTTTCTGGGCAAATGCTTCCTCGCAATACCGGTGATGAGATCCGACTTGAGCTTGGTTTTGGTGACATGATTTTGTTTTTTGGTTCTGCTTGCTACGGCAATCAAATGGAAACTAATAAATTGTGTGATCCCTCGCCGCTCATATATCCTCCTATTGAATTCTAGAAACTTCGAAAAAAATGTTATCAAGTGATTTGCAACAAAGTAGGTGATTTGTATTTATCGATTTCAATGATAGTTTGATTTGCTGGTGGACATACTGCAAGTATTGAAATTCTGAACTTTTCTTTCCACAGTAAATCACCAATAACTTTTTAACGGTTAAAGTATCTTCGGCAAAGTATGCTGCATTTGATTGATAATAGCGCTATGTTTGATACCCACTTTTGAGGATTGAATGCAGTGATTTACAACAAAAAACATCATTTTAGAGAATTTGAAAAATTGTAACTAACAAATTGGACACAGAACATGCCGTAGCAATTTTTTCTCTTATAGTTTTGACCCTTGGAAATCTGCGAAAAATATAAAAGGGTAAGATTTCACTGAAATTTAAAGAACTAAAAATATTTATTGGATAATGGCTTTGAAAAATGGACTTTTTTCGAAAATATCGTCGGGGCGACCTCTAAACAACATTTCCCAGAGTTGCCGCCATGCAAAAGTTTGTTTGTTACATTCTTAGCTATCATTTGGAGGGTGAGCCCCCAGATTTCCAGACATAGTGCAATTTTGGGACACCCTAATGCAGCATGTTCTCCCAACCGATAGAGGATAAAAATAGATTCATTTTCGAGAATTCAGTTTTTCTGAATGTATAACGAGTGGCTTCGGTGACAGGGATGAATTCATAAGGAACACATTCCTTTATGGACAATTGAAAAGGCGGATGATGGCGGCATTCCTTAACAAGAGGGGTTGGAGCTTCAGAAACAGTAGTATCGTGATTGAGATCTTGGCTAACAAAACAGAGATCAAGCAAGCGATGGTTGGAGTTACAGACAGAGTTGAGCTGGACGAGTACTATAATCATCCAGGAGTTGATTTTGAACTAGGTTCATCGATGAGTGCGCAAGGTCGGGATGCAGGTAATCAGATGAACTTTGAATCCAGTTCACAGAACGCATGTTAAAATCACCCAGGATGAGGATCTTGTCTGCCAAAGACATGCGTGAGGTAATCCAAGCATATCATTCACAATGTTTAGACATCAAAGTTGCATCGGTGACACGGTCAGGAGGCACGTATATGACACAGATGAATAATGTGAAGCCAGGGACGAAAATTTCCACCCATACCTGTTCGACAGAAGTGCAGTTGGGTGGTTGCAATAGCCGACATTTGTAGTTTGGAACGTCGATCTTGTTTTCCGTACTGAGTACCAATGCTACCGATGCCAGGGAGGCCAGACAATCGTCGTCGTCGTAGCTTGAGGCGCAATCAGTGATCTTTGAACACTTTCCCAAGTCTGTCACATTTTTGAATTGTGATCCATGTCCAAGTTGAAAAATTTTCCGATCCGGAAATTTCCCACACCAGACTGGGAATCGTACTCGCCTTCTCCCGTGCATGGTTTTGATTTATAGCTGCGTCTTGACCCACTGAGCAAACCGAACCGAGCCGCAATTTGGATTTTCAAATATTTTCTATACACAAACAAACCGCCCTGTAAGTAAAGTAACCATATACAATGATAGATTCTATATTGATTTCAATGCCATCAGTTAATCGATATCTTATTTTGTTGTTGTTGTTGAAACTTTTAATCTCTGTACAAATTGATTAATTTGACCCCAAGTGTTAATTATTACTCACCAAAAACAAACAACTTTTTCACTGGACCACTTGTGCTTGTGTCGCTCTCGCGATTCCAGTACTCTGAAATCGAACTCACCGTTTTGTGTTCCAGATGTGACGATACAATTTTGTTTAGAGAGCCAATTTTTTCGGAACCCCATTAGCAGCAGGAGAATTTGTGATGCGCGAATAGACTTAGATTGCGTTTATAAACTAATGATAATCGTAATAATACCAGCCACAAATAAAAAAAAATGGAGCTTCTAAAGTTTACCGAATCTATCAACAGTAGATTTTGAAATACGATACCTTCCGAACGGTACAGAAAACTACAGTCTAAAATAAATACAATTTGGACGTTTTAGCCTAAAACGGAGTAAAAAAGGAAGCAAGTGGGCTGTTCAACAGGCGAAGTAAACATTAAACCTACAATTATGTTACCAATGAAGATCTCCCGCAGGAATCTCCATCCGCGCGCAGATCCACCGCAAGGTTGCTTCACATCCACACAGAGTTTAAAAAATATCACAAACTAGTCTTTTTGTAATACACACGCGTATATCGAAAAATAATCTCACCGATAGTTTTTCATACTATTTTGTATCAAGCAAGAAGAATAACTTGATCACACTCACTTGTTTCGGCGAACGATGATGAGCTTGGAGCAGGTCACACTGTACAGACACTGTAACGGAAATGTACCCGGTAAAAGGGGGGAGGAAGAGGGGCCAGGGGAGCGCTTAGATCTCCACCGGCTTGGGTTGCTTGAGAGTTACGCCGAGGTTTTCCCGAAGCTCGGCAATCTCCTGGGGGCCTTGGAGAAGCCGTTTGACGCCCCTTGGAAGACCTCGACAGGAGGAAAGGTTGATCGAGTTGATGTGGGGACAGCAAGTCAGGACCTCTTTGACCGCTTCCAAAGAGACGGATGAACCGCACAGGTTGAGGTGGCTAGAGTGGATGCGATAACTGAGGTTAGGTTTGTTCCTACCGATAATCGATGAGAGATACTCACTTCAGAGGTGATTCAGAGCCCTTATCGGCCAATGCTTTCAGGGCATCATCCAAGGGCTTGGTAGCGTTGGCCCAAGCAAGATCAAACTCTATCAAACTGTGTGCCCACTTGGACGCTATCAGCTCCAAGCCAGACCTGGTGAAAAGATTGTGATTTTGATATCCGGATAAGACGATATGCCAAACATACCCTAAGTCTCTGGTGATGGAACACCCGGAGAGAAAGAGATGCTTCAGGTCCCACGTCGGTAGCCGAATCAAGCTGTCGTGGGTTAGCCTCGAGCAGCCTCGCAGATCAAGTAGCTTCAGCTGGGTGCTGGTTTTGAGAATCCTCTGGAGAAACTCGTCGTTGAAGAGGCGCGATTCATCGGCCAGGGAAGCGACCGAGAGTTCCTCCAGCTCTGGGAAGCCGGGAGATTCCATCTGTGAAAAGGATGGGCACATGTTAGCTTGTTTTTTTGCGATCACCGTCAACCGAAAGCAACGAACCTGTTCCTGGAGAGTGGCAGAGTTCAGATTGATATGGGAATTGGTTATCCGCAGTACCTTCAGCTTTTGGCAACCGGCTTGCAGCTGCTCGATGTTGAGTATACCGTGGGAGACGGCAATTGTGCTGACATTGGACAGATCTAGTAGCACCAGATTGGGACACTGGGTCTATGGAAAGGAATTTTGTTGAATTGATTAGAATCTTGTTGAAAAAAAAAGTTCGTTCGAACCATACCGATAGAGCCTTGACGATTTGAGGAATGCCACTGAGACGATTGTGAGCCAGATAGAGGTGGGTCAACCGTTCGCCCATTTCCGAGATAGCATTGCATAATGAAACCTGACCGACGGCCGTTTTGTTTGCGTTGACTTCGGCCTGTGTGGAAAAGATATCACCAATCAGAACATTTACCAACTCGATCGAAGGCGAATAGAACTTACATTGATTGAGCTTAGATCTATTCTCCGCAGGCTCTTGAACTCTTGCACGAGAAACATAAGATGATCGGAAGTGAGTTGCTTCCAACCCGTCAGGGTGATTCCAACCAGTTTGGGTGCCACTGTCAGCAGCTTATCTAGCACACATTGCACGTTGGTAATCTTCCAGTTTCCTGTTGAACAGCAACGATTCTTGTGAACTGTAAACAATAGAAAAGCAGCAACAGTAACTCACCAAAACTGACATCGGTACTATTGCGAAGACGGTTTTCGATGAGCCACTTGAGCTTGAGCTCGGTTTTGAACCGCTCCTTGGTCCAGTTGCCGAGGTCCACTGTTCGCCAGAGCGAAGGCACCAGGGAAGCTTTATGCCAGGCAGAGCACACCTTGCCGAACCGGATCAACGCGGGAATGCAACCGTCGTCCTGGATGACGTGTTGAAATATCTGAAAGCACCAAACCAGTTTGAACAAACACTTTTTCCCATAAAACAATCATCACACTCACCGTGCACAGCACATGCTCCGGAAGCTGGTCGGCCCACGCGCTCTGATCTTCGGGCCTTTTGTACTCCTCTTGGGTGGCGGCGGCGGCGGCGGCAGCGGCGATGGCCTTTTCCGTGTTGTTGTTCGTTCGCTGCGAGGACGTTCGAGGCCGGCGGGTGCGTTTTTCCGGAGATACCACCGCCGGCTCCTCATCACTGTCCTCGGTAAGGCTCTTGGGCTTGCGGGTTCGCTTGCGGGTCGCCCTCTTTGGTTGTTGTACTGCAGCATCAGATGCCTTCTTTATACACAGCTTTATGCCGATTTTGTTTTCACTTATCTGGAAGTGCAGGAAGGAAGGATTGGTTGAGTGAATTGGAAATTTTGAATTTCAAGAATCAACCTGTCAAGTGTTAGATGAAAGACCTGTTATTTTTGGCACGTTAAACTACAGTGTTGATGAACATAACATTTCCAATGTATTCCATTATTCCAATTCGCTCTCACTAAGGCATAGGCCTTAGAAAACGGCGAATCAGCCAAACTATAAAAGCACTATTGTTCAAACCAACCACAAACAGAATAATGAATCAACTGAATGAGCTGGTCCACTACATTGCGTTCGAGGGCTGGCTAATCGCTGAAATGCGAACAAAGGGTTTCAGATGACAGCCTGAAGACTTTGTAGACATAGGTTTATGAATTTCAGAGAATATAAACTTCCGCTGAGTTGCAGTAATTTGGCCTGCGCGTATGATGGAAAGAAATAGCGATTCCAGGTGGCAAAGCAAATACATAGCTTTGGATATAGTTGCAGTTCAGCGAAATACACGGTGTCTCTAAAAGTTGATGTTTCAGCGATACTGATTTTTTTTCATAACGTTGTTCTGCCACCGTGTATAAATTGCACAATCCATGACGGAGTGGGGGAAACACTGAAGTTATATGGAAAACATAATATAAAACTATGTATTGGGGTAAAGGGATGTGACATGAGATTCTTTATCCTTCCTAATGCGTTAGGAAAAAGTTACACATTGTGGATTAGCGAGTCAAAAAAGAGACAAACTGCACCGCTTCTTGACAAACAAACCGAACTGATTCTTGATCTACTGGCCTCAAATGAAAGATGAAGGTTTCTAAAATGGCACCCTCCTCCCAAGGATTTCTCCAAGTTGGCCATTATGCTACCTGGCACCGGTACCGATACAGCGCAAAAGGACACTTCCAAAAACTCATGTACTGGTATCGTCCGACGGCTCAAAATTGAAGACTTGTCATCCAGAAGTAAAAAGACATCATGCCATGGGCCAACAGAAGCATCTAGCCACATCCGGATACCCAGAACCGGTTCCATTCTTCTTCTTCTTTCTTCTTGTTCGCATTTCAAGCTTATTGCTTAGCGCATATTAGCTTATTACGTGCTCTCAACTTAGTGTTCTAAATGCACTTCCACAGTTATTAATTGAGAGCTTTCGATGCCACAATGATACTCTATGCAACCCGAAAGATTCCCTCGATTGGACCGGGAACCGTACCCGCCGCCTCCGGCTTTATAATACCTTGAGCTTTAGCTTGATTGACCGCCCACGGTTGCTACTCTGTTACTGCCAGATCAGCTGTAATTACACAGAGAACCAATAGACGATGCTTGGGACTAGCAATCATCCTCAATGTGTAAAAACTGGTGATCTTAAATTAGGCAATACAAGCGCCGGCCGCGCCCGAACACAGGTCAAGAAAGGAATGGGAAGGATTGTGTTGACATGACACTCGCTTTGATGGAAGCCGAGAACACCTCTGCACTTCCACGAGGAATCACTGGGATGTTGGATAAGAGGGTTGGGTTTGCAGCAGGGTTCGTTTTGGTAAACGATAAGCTGAATTGATTTCCTAACGATCATATAACGCGAAGGAGCTTGGGACTAAACCCACGGTCTTCTGCTCAGTAAGCAAAAACGTTTGCCACTAGGCAGACGAGCACCTTTTTAATCACCGAGTTGCTGTTATTACCATGTAGTCATAATAACAAATAAAACGATTGACGAATCTTGAATGTGGATGGGCCTGATATTAGACTCATGATGTTCTGCTCAGTAAGCAAAAACGGTTGCTCTAAGGCCACCGAGCCCCTCATATCACATAATACCGTTGCTCAAATTTGTGTATCCATTCAAACCCGGAACCAACGACAACAACGAGTTTCGCAAAATACACGATACACAAGCGATTTTACCATAAATCTCTTTGATATGTAACGACCTGGGACAGCGTTTTTCTGCTCAGTAAGCAGGCCACTGTAACCGACGATCTTTCAAATCCGAAAACTAAAAACTACGAAAAAGTACTTAGGCCTTCATTAAGTTCCACTTTCACGCGACGTTCAATGACAGGGTCCTATCCAGGATTACATCTGAAAAATCCATATCTGGCCAACGCCCACCTAAACCTGTTCTAATCCACCTGAAATGACTAACGAATAGAAGACTTTGACTACCCAGCCATGAAATAGTCTCATTCCGTGCCTTATGGCAACTTGATGATTCTATTGCGCTCATCTTTTGGCACCACCCAGGGGAGACTTGGTCCTGTACCCAATGCTTAACTTATCTCCATTCCACTCAGCTACTCGCAATTTCTTGTGATATAGTGGGCGGAATATTATTATATGAGACAATTCAATGCAGACGTCTTTCCAAATTTGGCAGATCGACAGGTAATCGGTGAGTTACCACGAAAGTTGCTATTCAACAACTCGACAACGTCCCATCGTCAACGCCTGCTATGAGAAATTCCCATTGCAGACGTCAACGAAATGACGTCATCGAGCTATCAATCAACTACCCTGGTTATTGCCTGGTACCTTATAGCACGATGCTAGGAGGCGAACCGGAAGAATCGATGAGCTACCTCTCCCCCATTTCCAACCCGAAAGATTCCCTCGACCGGACCGGGAACCGTACCCGCCGCCGTAATACCATAGAGGTAACTCTAAGACTAGAAGGTCCCGAAATAACGTGCTCAACTTTTTGACTCAGCTCTGGTACTTTCTTCGGTCCCAAGCTAATCGATTCACCCCTAGAAACATAGGAAAAACCAATCACCCCTCATTTTATCTGTCAAACTTTCATAGCGAATCAAAACAAACATTGTGTAGTAGTAGAATTTCGACTAGAATGGGATACGTTAATCGTTTGCTTGGGACCAATAGGCTAGTCAAGTAGTGAGCCAATTTGAAATCGTTAGTTTCGTATTGATTGTTGGTAATACCGTGCATTTACTGACTAGGCTATAAGGCCCCTAACCGGTTCCAGAAGGGCCCAAAATGGAAAATTCCTAATCCTCATGTACAGCTACCGTCTGACGCACAGTGGCGGGCTTCCATACAAAAGTCGGATAAACCCTAAAATGTTTCAGAATCTGGCTGCAAATCAAATATTTAGTTTCCATTTTTGACGACTGAAGTAATAAGAAAAATGTAAACTAATACCCCTAATGTGTGATCTTATCTTTCTGATACCTATGAGCATGGTGACCAGCAAAAGATGATTAGCGATTTACCGGTTTTTTCCCGTTATTTCGGAAATTTTCCCGGCTGTCCAATATACAATTGAAAAAGAAATAAATCGAATTTTAAGATAGCAAAATTTTGTATTTATGGAAATGTATACCAGATACAAGGACCGCATCTTTTCAAACCAAAAATAAAAACTTACAGTGAAGTTAATGAAGCATATTCTTCAGACGCTCATCGATCAGAGCCGCTTCTCGCTGAGCATCCGCCAATAAACGTGCTTTTTTGGTCTCGAGCTCCTTCATAAGCCGGATTGCTTCTCGTTTTCTTTGCTTCATCCTTTTCAATTTCCGTGTTTTCTGCCTTCAGATGTTCCTTAAAGTCTTTGTACCGTCCATACGCATTCCGAGCGTAGTGCATCATTGACTTGTTGATGGTGATCTTAAAAACTCCATCTGCTTTCAACACTGCATCGTACACAACGCGCTGCGCGACGAGGCTTACTTCCAACTGGTTGACTACAAGGCACTCCTATAGTCGCTATATTCATAGTCTGGCGGATAGAATTTTGATCTATCAAAAAGCGGAACCAATTCAATATATTGTAGACCAACAATTGAAAAGGTATCAACTTTTATAAACAAAACGTTGATTATTCTTTCTTCGCCAATCGAACGCAAATTACCAGCATCATCGGATAAGGGAAACTTTCCCCAACCCATAGATGGTGTTAGCTTGCGTAGACGAGTCTTGAGTCACGAGAAAAGGGTTTCCTAAGATTTGTTCGCAATAGCTGATGTGCTCTTTTCTGTTGTTGATCGTGATTTGCTCGATTAGTTCCGCTATTTGACAGTTCAATTGGTTCCCGAGATTCTATCCGCCAGACTATGAATATAGCGACTATAGGCACTCCTTGTTAACCGAAAATCCTCTTTCTAGAGTGGCGTTTCCGTGGCTGATAATCAACATTTTTTTCACGAAGTTTACGAAGTTAGGCAACTCTGCAGGCGAGCTTTTTACTGTATCCATCCAAAACTCATCCAATCGAGTGTGTTGTTTCCGATAACTGGCAGCAGCAGCTTTCGTTGTTGGTAACTTAGAAAGCAGCGAGAATTCTTGCTTTACTTTGTCTGCTACTGTACCAGATAGATGGTTTTTCGCCACAAGATGCTCTAGACAGAGATCTAATCGTTTTTGATAAATATCGGATGAACTGTTCAAAATCTGTGGGTTGAGACACGATATATATCTCGTTAACGGATAACCCAATGAAGATCTTTCAACAATTTTTTCAATGAATCCTTTGTAAAATGCCTTGCACTCGTTACGAAATAGTAAGTACTTTTGTTCAGAAATTGTTTCCTTCTCTTTATTTCCGATTGATGTTAGAGCAGCATTTGTAGTGAAACCAATGTCAACTTTGGAAGACGGGAGAAAATTATGTTCGTCAATAGATATTTCAGAAAGCGCTTTTGATTTACCTTTAATTGCTTGTGGTTTTAAAGCCTTTTCCATTGTCAATCTCTGAAGATCCGTAAGGTCGTCATATAAAAAAAAGGAGCCACTGGAGATTCTGATTGAAACCCCTTTAAAAAAGGTTCCACACTTGCAGCTGCAGTAATGAAAAAACTGAGTTTAGCTCCGAAGAATGGATCATTGACGGCCGTTGCTACTGTCTCGAATGCTTTAGATTTCACCACTGTCGTAAAGCTTCTCTTATAATCAGTGCTCGATTCTTTGAGTTTTTTGTCGTTTTGGTTCTTCACAGCGCGTACGTATTTCTTCAAAAACGGAAACATATCATCTTTTTGCCACACCTTGGTTCT